TATTATTATTATTATTATTATTATTTTTCATTATTAAATCTTTTTCTGGGAGTAGTGTTGTTGTCTTTTTTTGATTTTTTTTTTATTATTATTTAGGAGAAACATATATACACACATACAAACATATTTTCACTTTCTCTTATTCTTATGAGTGATGTGGCGACGTACATTATTTGATTTCTCCTCCGGGCCACAACGGTGTTTACCTCCCGGTATCTACAGCAGTCTATACACTCAACATGTATACTTCTCTCATCAACAACAACAACAACAACAAGGAAAAGATAAAAAGAAGAAGATAATGAAGAAAGAAGAAAAAGTATGGGGTTCATATCGTATTAATAGAGATCCAATAGCCGCCCAACGTCGAAATGCCTTTCAAGAATATATTCATCATAAAAATGCGGATTTTGTAGGAACAGAATCCTCCAGATTTATCAATTTCTCTGCAGTTTCATCAAATGCCTTTGGATTTGTGGAGGAAAAAGAAGAGAATATTGCCCCTAAACGACACTTATTAGAAACGATTGAAGTACGCCCAACCAAGAGTAGTTTATCTGAAGATACCACAACTATAAAAAGAGGAAAAAGTCGAAAAGAAGAAAAAGAAAAAGGAGAAAAAGGAGACAATGATGATAATAGTGATAATAGTGATAGATCTCAACAATCTCAACAACAACAACAACAACGAGAACTAAACCCTTTAAGGCGAGGTCAGCGAGATCTTCAACGGCTTCAACGTCGAGTTTCAAACTATACACATACAGTAAAGCAGCAACAATTAAGGGAGGAATATCAACGGGCATTACTTATACTTGATGATATTCTTACAGCTCTTCAGGGAAGTGTACCTTCTAACTCTATAAAGAAAAGTAATCGTTTAAATTCATTACATCAAGAGAAACAAGGATCTTTATTATCAGAGGCGGTACGTTTTGAACGTTTACATCAACTTCGTGATACAACGAGTCGATTAACGACAGCACATTTTATTTTACTTTCTAATAAAGAAATATTGGAATTTCTTGATCGTATTGCTCATATCGTATTCCTAGCTCAACAACCAAACATTACTGCACATGGATATATTGTCCGACAAGCCGTACGGGCATTATTCCTTAAAGGTGATAATAATAATACTTCTTCTTCTACTCCGAAGAAGGAACCTTTTATGGGTATACATTATTATAATTTACTGCGAGTTATGCTTTCTTTACCATCATCAGAGACGGTAGAAGTATTTGATGGAAATATTGCTATTTCTTCTTCTTCTTCTTCGGATGTCTCTTCAGTATCTCTTGAAGAGTTTTGTGTGCGGCGATTGTATAATAATAATAATAATAATAATAATAATAATAATAATAATAATAATAGTGGTTGTGATGGCTTATCAGAGTCATTTCCCTTCTTACATGAGATTGGACCTTTTCGTGCTGTTCGTGTGATTGCATGGTGTCTACGCTGTAGTGAATCCCCTTTACTTGCAGGCGAAAAAGGTGGAATGTCGTTTACAAGATCCTCTTCATCATCTCCACCGATTAGTGCTTTGCGTATTCCTTTTGGTGTTGGAAAAGAATATACACAAAGTGTATTGTTAGCCTTTTCACCTCCTCGTCATTCTTCTTCTTCTTCTTCTGAGAAGGAAATATCATCATCATTATCAACATCAACACCATTTCGAGTTAATGACTTGGCGACTCTCTGTAGAGCGATTGTATTTTACGAAATCACTACAATGGAAGCCCTTGAGGTTCTCGTGCAGGCCGCTCCTATGTGTGCAATGTGTGTAGATGAACTCTCTGGTCATCAACTCAGTTGTGTGATGTTGGCCTACGCGACACTTAAATATCATGGGGATTTAAGTCAACATCCTATTTCTCATACAAACTCTACACTTTCACAAACTCAAGGAAAACGACAAGAGGGGAATTTCTTTCTACACCTTGGGGCTCGTGCGGGAATGTTGGGAGAGCGATTACGTGAAGATGATGCCGCACGTGTACTCCGGGCGTTGGATTTGACGGGAATTGAACATGAAGGACTGCGGCGATCATTAGAGTCTAGTATGCGTATGCGGGGATTACAACATCGATCTTTGCTTGTGCGGGGATAAACAAGAAGAAGAAAAAGTGTGGATGATATTATATTTCAGTATATATATATATATATATATATATATATAAACAGAGATTCTCTGTTTCTCACATACGTCAGTTGATCTTGACAGCTAGTATTGACTAGTGTCAAACATTTCGTTTGTTTGTTTTTTTTGTTTGCCCCCTACATTTCTTTTTTTTTCTTTCCATAATCTTGAAGTAGTGTTGTGGGTATATATTTTTTTGATCTTTGAAATACGTATTATCCTTTTATTTTTCTCTCTTCTCACTCTTTGTGAGTGTGTTTAATAAAGTTATTTCAAATGTTCTACCTTTTTTTATATTTTGTTAATTCTTATTTATTTAATCCCTGCCCAAGTAATGTATACTTTTCCCATCTTTTCTCTTTTTCTCCCGGTTTCTCTTTCTTTCTTTTTCTCTCAATATATATATATATATATATATATATATATATATATATATATATATATTCGGTTCCTTTTCACTATTTCACATATTAATTTAGCATCGTAATGCCGCTTGAGAGTGTTGCGGTGCCTCCTCAGGTAATATACCGTCGAAGTACTGATGTATTTGTGTCTGAACATGAACAACAAGCACATGGAATCACAACAGCAACACCATCCGTAACTAGAATACCTCATGTACGTGATCATAACAAAAATATGAGATGGAGAGGTAGAGATCATGGATGGAATAATAGGAATATATGCAGTAGAATACGTGATTTTTACACAGATGATCAAAATGTTATTTGTACTCTTTTTACCGTTATTGTTATTCTTCTTCTGTTATGTATATTCCTTATTGGTATGTGTTCCTGGCTGCTTATTAGTAAACAAGAAGAAATCATTGTACCCAAAAAAGCATCATCGTCAGTAAAGAGTATTGATAAGGATGCTCTTATGGATATTTGGCGTCTTTATGAAACAGCCTCACGAACAAAAGAAGAATATCACGTGCGGGCCCTTCGTGAGTATTTATTACGATATAAACGAATGGCAGAAGATCGTCAACGAGAAGAAGATGCCGGTAAAACGGAAAAACGAATCGATGTGGCTCCAATAGATGAACCTTTAGCCGCAGTAATTCCTCGATTTACAGCTGCCCCTCAACAAAGTCTTCCAGAAGTGTTAGCCGCACTTGAAAAGATAATGGCACGAGTGATGGAAAAGGATCCAATGAATGGATTAGAAAAGGCCGCCGTATTTCTCGCAAAAAACTTTTGGCGAATGGAAAAAACAGAAAGTTATGAAAATAAAACACAATTAACAAGAGAGAAAGAGGCATTGGAACCATTTGATGATATTCTCTATTTACAACTTCGTCGTTATTTTGACACCAACGAAGATGATGATGATAATGATAAAAAGAAGAAAAAGAAGGAGTTTTCTTCTCCATGGACTCCTGGTGAAGAAGGAAAAATAGAAGAAATCATTAACACGGATAACAAGAATGAGGAAAATGAAGAAAAACGAAAACAATGTTGGCATCATATACGTTCAAAGGCTGCTTCTGTTTATACAGGTCGTTATTATTATCCATTACGTCGTTTTCATCGAATGCGACGTTTTTCAGTAGAAACAGCAGATATGACGGCCTCATGGGTTAACGCAATGGCGTATGATTACTTTGAAGATAATGAAGAAATCATCAACATTACACCTTTTAAACCTCCTGAACCTCCAAGTCAAGAATACTTAACATCCATGAAAAACGCATGGAAGAAAACACTTGAATTATCACCAATAGCATCATCATTATTAACTACATCACCAGAGGCACCGGTATTTACCGGTACATTATTTGTGAATCTTGCGAGTTTTCGCGATAAAGAGTGTTGGCCATCTATTGAAAATATGTTTATACGATCTGGAAATATGTTTCGTGTTTATTTTGGAATAGCAGAACAAAATCATGAGAGTGATCTCAGTTGTCTTTCATATGATGTATTATTACCACGATCCTGCATGTCTGCTCCCTCATCATCGTTATCAACAACAACTAACACAATGACAGGAGTAGGAGAGGGTATTACTTTTAATAATAATAATAATAATAATAATAATAATAATAATAATAATAATAATAATAATAATAATAATAATAATAATAATAATAATAATAATAATAATAATATTGATATTAATAGTAATGACCATCGCTACGGTGGTGCTATTTGTTTCCCAATAGACAATATTCGTATTCGACATGTACGATCTTCTGCAGCATTTGGTCCAACGTATGGTCGTTATATCTCTATGCTCTTATACCGAGGTGAGGATTACACACTGGTATTAGACTCTCATAATCGATTTGTGTATGGATGGGATATTCGTATTATTGCCATGTATGTTCTTCAACAACACCCAAAATTAGTACTTTCTCATTATCCAGAAAGTTATATAGAGAGTGAAGGGGATAAATTTAAATTTGAACGTGAAACGACGGCATATTTGTGTAAGGCTCAATTTCTTGATACAGCTGGATATATTCGATTAAATGGGATCGTTACAAATAACCCTGAAGAATTTAATCGTAATAATCAATATGCAGAGCCTTATAAAATAGAGGAACTTCATTTAAATGAAAGTATTCCTCGTCCTTTACTACAACCATGGGCAGCAGGTGGATTTCTCTTTGCAAATGCCACTATTATGCGTGAGGTACCATTTGATCCCCATCTTCCTTATATCTTTGATGGAGAAGAAGTCATGTATGCTGTTCGTTTATGGACGCATGGATATGATATTCACTCTCCACTGCGAGGAATATGTTCTCACTTCTATACACGTGTGGGTCAACCAAAAGTATGGTTTGAGGCCCCACGATGGACAGCCGTGCAGGGACAATCCCGAAAACGTATTCAATACTTTTTACGAGCACGTGTAAAAGGTGTGGATGTTCTCCGTATTCCACGCAATACACAACTGCCTGTTGTTGTGATGGATGCGGATCGGTACGGTGTTGGAAGGGCACGATCGGTGGAGGAGTGGTATTCCTTTGCGGGTGTGGATCCCATACACTATACATTAGATGGTCGTTGGTGTGGGAATTAAAAGGAGATAAGAGGGAAGGTCAATCCTTATATATATATATATATATATATATAGAATGGAATGTATATGTATGTGTATGTGTGTGTGTGTTGTTGTTCTTTTATGTTTAATTATTATTATGATTATTATTATTATTATTATTATTATTATTATGATTAGTATTGTTGGTATTATTTCTTTTTTCTCGGTTGGTTTGGATGGAAATACATTTCCGTGTCCAGTGTCTGTGTATGGCTTTTTAACTTTGCAAATGTAGAGAGAGAGGGAGACAGTTCAAATACATTTTTGTTTATTAGTGAGAGGAGGGGGGAAAAAAAAAAAGGTGTTTGACCCTCTTTAGAATATGAATTCCCTCTTCCTTTCTCTTTTTTTTTCAATTTCTTTCTTTTTTGTTTTCCACTCTTTCTCTCTATTTTATTCCCTTTCTTTGTAGATGGGAATCTTTTCATTGTTTATGTGTTTTTTTTTTTTTTTTTTGTGTA